CAAAGACTTACAGTTAGAGCCAGATGAGAATCCTAGATATTTAGATTCCTAGTTCTGTGCACTCTCTAGTCATTCATGACTGAAAGAACATGTCTTCTTTCATTTATTTATTCATTCAGCCTGTATCTGGACCATAGGCCAGATACTCCAGGTCAAATAAATATGGTTCTTGCCATAAAAGAGTTTACAGACTGATTGAGTTGTGTTTATTTTTTGAAGAATGGTAGTAGGGTCAGGATTTGGGGAGAGACAGGCCAGTAAATTCATGTTCTTTGTACCAGTGGTGAAGGAACACTGGTGGCATAGTGGGTAAGGCATTTGGCTGCTAACGAGAAGGTCGTAGGTTCAAACCTATCAGTTGTTTTGCAGGAAGAAGTTGAGGCAACCTACTTCTGTAAAGATTTACAGCCTTGGAAACCCAAAGGGAGTCGCTTTAAGTCGCAATCAATTTGATGGAAATGGGTTGGGTTTGGTTTTGTAGCAGTGGTGAGTGCAGTGATGGGCAGGCTGACTTAAGGTCAGGCAAAGCAGGGTGTTGACATCAACCTGGGTTTTAGGGAAGAAGAACATTTACCTTAAAACCAGGGATAAGTAGGGCATGAATGGATATGTGAATGGAGTGGAGGAGAAGGAAATTGAAATCAGATTGCAGATAATAAGAGGAGCCATTGAAGGACTTCAGAGCTCAGTCCTCACATTTCTGCTTGGACTATTACCTCCTATCTGGATTTTTTGCTCTAGACTTTCTTCTCCAATCTATTTTCAATATTGCTGCATTTTAAATATGATACTTTTGATACTTTGTGAGTAGGTGTCTCTTTTTTGCTCCTAATTTTGAGAGCCTTGGGGTCAGCAATAGCTCATTCATCCAGTGTCTCTGGGAGGTACCTAGGATAATGCTTCACATCAAAGAGATTCTCAGTAAAAGCTCATTAGATTTAATCAAACATCTCACCTGCTTTTTCTGACTCATATGTGAAAATCGATGATAAATTACTCAATTTGAATTCATACATCCTCCTAAAAGTCATGTCATTAGAATTCCTTAGTATGATTAACCTGAATATTGTTAAATGTCTCCAGCGTTTTTAAAGGAATTCTAGTTAACAGAGTTACTGTTGGTATTATACAATCAGGCAACTACCATGGTCCACAGAGGGTATGCTGGGAAGTAGGGTGGCTTATTTCTAATACCAGACTTCACTAAATCAAATTCATGAGTGGGGAAGCATGCTTAGTTATGTGTGAGACTTGGGTAGATGAACAACAAAATGAATTTGAATGGGGAAAATGTTCACACATTTCTCTAGTCAGAAACTTAAATCCCCATTTTTCCGAAGTTCTCCATGGATTGAGTAGTTTTGATTGTTTTCAAAATGCAAACTTCTGACACTTGATGCCACTTTGATGTCAACTATATAAAAAATTTTTCATTTTTATTTCATTCTGGGGAAAAAAATGATCAGAAATATTGCCACAGATCTTTTAGCCAATCATTATTTTGTCAGAATATCACATGGATTTTGAGTATGGGTTAGGTAAATATAACTTTTTTTTTTAACAACTAAAAAATTCTCTTTTCAAAATGAAAAAAATATCATCTCATTAGAAAAAACTCATGTTTCTCTTACAGACAAGTGCATTAAGGCTACGAGCCATTGGTTCAGAATCATTTGAAAAATATTGAAGAAGTTATTGCCATGGACCTCAGGACTATTCAACATTTTAGATATTTTATTTTTTAAGACTGGGAAAATAGTTTCTACTAGGCGAGGAAAAAAAAAAACACAGGAACTTTGAAACAGAAATAAACTACCTGAAAATCTCTCAGCTGAAAACTTTCGTAATTAATGTGTCATAGCTTAGTTGTGCATCAGCTGGGTGACAATTTTTCACCAAGTAAGGGATCTTTCCAGTAGATTAATGTAGTCCTGAAAGGCACATAAGAAGGTTACGTTACTCAGGATATGAAGAAAGGTGATTTAAAAAAAAAAAAAAACCTACTGGTGAATGAGAAGGAATTTATTTCATGTCAATGGATTTTGGCATTCCTCTTTAGCTGCTTGTTAAATATACTGATGGGATCATTTTGCCTTTGATTTTCACACGTTAAATTAAATTTTTGTTCTTGGTAGGTTCTTGATCCCAATGCCCTTTCTTGCTCTTTTATTTCCCACCCCTCCTCCTACTTGATTCTCATGTAGTTTCTCTTTGTTGGAATATTTCAGTAGTCATTGAAATGATTCGGCAATCCAAGGGACATTTTGAAAAAAAAAAATTATTTTTAAAGTATGTTTTCTTCAGATCCTGTTTTCAACTTTATTTCCCCTTCTATGCCATGTAATCATATGCAACAATGAATAATGATTATTTATAACTATGTAGTGATACTAAATGTAATATACAAGGGATAATTTTTAGTAAATTTTTTTTCTCAAACACTGATTTATCTGAAAAGGAAGATTTCGTTTAGTGAAAGGCAACTCAGATGTTCTTAGAAGATTTTGTGTATAATTATGCTAACAAAGGAAAAATTGGAAGTTCTTTAAAACTGCTGATTACTACAATTGAAATATTCACTAAAATTTATGTTAAGTTTATGCTCATGAGGTTTGAGCTTCTTTTTCTCTATGGGGGAATAGGCTGCTACGTAGAGATATCATGGTACCTTAGGGACATCCCTCTCCAGAATGAAAGGGAGCTCTGGGCAAGAGTTGGGAATGGCTGTATTGATGTCTAACATCTGGAGGCGGGGGAAAAAAGAGAGAAAGTGGGAACATTTGGCAAATTTACTGGTAAAATATTTGTTGTTGACTAGAGAAATGTATTGTGAGACCACACTGCCTTGTGACCTTGCTTTCTTTTCTCACCTGGGACTACTCTTGAACGTGTGAACCTCTTGACTAGTCTATGTGAAGGGAATGGATAGAGCTGGTTGTACTGCAAATATAAATACATATATAATGTGAACCAGAAAACACTGCTTTAATATTTGGATTAAATATTATAATTAAAAATATATAGTATTTTAAATTATTATCTCATAAGATATATTTGAACCAGGTCACCAGAAAATCATGATCCTGTAAGATGATGAACCTCACTTCTGAACAGTATATACACCAAAAAAATAATGTATCGATCACAGTATGTGATGTAAGCCTGTGTTATGGTTTAATATTAAGAGCAATACTCTAAAAAACAAATATTCAATAACTATTTTCCCTAGACAGTGTTTTGTTCTATTGTACATAGGGTTGCTATGAATCAGAATTGACTCCATGGCACCTAACGACAACAACATTGGAAGCCTCAGGGCCTACTGAGTTGAATAGGATAATTCTATTAAGGCAGAATATAAGTCATTGTTTTATGTGCAAAGTTTTTGAAAAGCTACCTAATAAGTGGTGTGTATTTTTTGTTTTTTAAATAAAGATGCATGGTAAGTTTTCTAATGTAGCAACTCTTACAAAAAATAACTCTTAAAAAGTAACTTTTTATTTTATAACTTAAATTATTATATGCTTGTTATTATTATTAGATACTTATAGTAGAAAAGATCATTGGAAATATTAGGCAATACCTAAAATATAAAATTAAAGCCATGAATGTTTACTACTAAAATTATACTTTGATATTTTAAATTTCACCTTTCAGAAATAGTATGGTGCAGTGCCTAGGACATTAGACTGCTAACCAGAAGGTTGGCAGTTCAAATCCACCAGCTGCTTCGCAGAAGGAAGATGGGACAATTTACTTCTGTAAAAATTTACCACCTCAGAAACCCAATGTGGGTGACTAAGAGTCAAAATCTACTTGATGTCACTGAGGTTGAGAATATGGTCTTTGTAAAGAAAAGACTTTGAAGGTCAAATTCTAGTAAGTTAGAAAAATTCCATGGAGGTAATACCGCCCTCCTTTACTCACTCTCAGTTCACAATGTCCAGTCTCATTCATATAGAATGTCTCTTCATTATCATGTGCACCATTATTTCTAGACCTTTGGAGACTCTTCACTCGTGTTATCCTATTTTACCAAGATAGAGATAAATCTCTAAAGAAGCTAATGGAGTTGAATAGTTGGACCTGGTAGTGAGCCCAACTGTTTAAAGACAAAAATTAGTCATGATGAAGGAAATACACAGAGGCAAAGATTAATGCTGGATTGAAAAGAGTTTTGAAAACTGGATCTTTGTGTTCTAAAATTGTATGCACTGAAGAAAACAGGCAATAAAGAAAGAGAGAGAGAAGAAAAATAAAAACTTAGATCATTATAGGATAATTTATAGGAAAGACTACCAAATGTCAGTGGTTCAGTGTATACAGAGTGAATTATCTTCCTTTAAGTGGTAGGTGTTTGACATTCATTGGTAGATGCAGGTTTGTGATCACTGGAAACTTGTCTTAAAATCCATTTTCCCAACATTTTATTATGAACATTTTGAATCAGAAAAGTTAAAAGAATTGTACAGTGATACCTAGTTTCTACAATTATATTTTATAATACTTGCTTTATCATCCAGGTGTGCATCATCAAGCTAATTCTGAATGTATTTCAAAGTGAGTTGAAGATATAAACATCTTTCACTTCTAAACATTTCAGCATGTGCATCAATATTTATAATTCTTTTTGTTGTTTTGAAGTAAAATTTATATACAGTGAAGTACATAAATTTGTGTAAGTCTTAGGTATACCCATTCTATGATTTTTGACAACTGTCTTTGCTTGTGTTACCCAAAATTTTTTTCAAGGTATAGAACATTACATTGCCACCAGAAAGTTCCCTCATATCCCTTCATAGTCAGTATTTTCCTTCATAGATTAGTTTTGCTTTTTATAGGATTCCATATAAGTGAAACTATACATATACTGTTTATGTGTAAGGCTTCCTTCACTCAGCACATGTAATCTACTTTTGCTTTGCCTACAAAGTGAGATGGAGTAACTTTATTCTATTGATTTCAAGTGGGTTTTCTCATTTGGTGAATTTTATTTTCAGGCCTGTTTCCTGCCATTCTCAATCTTGCCAGCAATGCTCACATCAGCACCAATGCAACCTGTGGCGAGAAGGGTCCCGAGATGTTCTGCAAACTTGTGGAACATGTGCCCAGTCGCCCTGTGCGAAATCCACAGTGCAGAATCTGCGATGGCAACAGTGCTAATCCCAAAGGCAAGTGCTGCTGCTTCTCTTCAGAAGTACTGATGACAGTTTGTATTTTGGATATAAGAACTAAAAACTTTCATTGTTGTTCTTTGTTGTTATGTGCTGTGGAGTCGGACCCGACTCATAGTGACCCCTCCTTGGGTTTCCGAGGCAGTATCACTATGGAAGTAGATTGGCCAACCTTCCGAGGAGTGGCTGGTGGGTTTGAACTGCCAACCTTCTGGTTAGCAGTCAAATGCCTTAGGTACTATGCTACCAACTTTTATTAGGAGACCATGAACAATATGTTCACTTTCAATTCTATTCATTTCTACAAGCTCTACAGTTCAGAGCTGTTTTAAAAGCAAGCAAAGAAAGAAAGAACTGAGAGGGATGAATGTTTTTGTTTTCTTCTAACAGAACGACATCCAATATCAAATGCAATAGATGGCACCAATCACTGGTGGCAGAGTCCTAGTATTCAAAATGGGAGAGAATACCACTGGGTCACTATCACTCTGGACTTGAGACAGGTAAGTAAGGCGAGAACCATTGAAGAATGGAAGAATGCCTGCATCTGAACTGTATTCTTCTGATTACTTTTGGGAAAGTCTGCCTTTTTTCTCAACATGTTGACCTTCTGGGCTCACTGTTTTCCCACCAGGTTAAGTCAAGTGATGGATAAAAGTGTTCTGATGTCATTTCTTGTCACATTTCTCATTCCTAGGTATCTCTGAGAATATGAATGAAATTGTTTCCCTATGGTTTGATGTTCTTACACACTGTAAGACAAATTCATCCATTCAAGACTACACCAGGCCAGGTGCCAATAGACATACTAGAGGGCAAAACACAGCAGCTGTAGAGTCTGCTCCTACTCATGGCAACTTTATGCATAAGGAACCAAAGATTGTCATCTTCAGCATCTGTTGGTATGCTTGAATACACTGTTGCAGCCATTGTGTTGTGCCTTCCAACCTAAAGGAGCTCATCTTCCAGCACTATTTCAGTCAATATTCTGTTGTGGTTTTCATTTGCTAACTTTCATAAGTAGGTCACCTAGTCTTTCTAACTCGGGAAGTTTTGATGAACCCATGTCTACTTGCTGATATTTAAAATACTGGTGCCATAGCTTTCAGTATCATAGTGATAACACAAGTCACCACAGTACAACAAACTTACTGTCTAGTTTTAGCATTGTACCGTTGCCATATAAGGGTTGTATGTAGAAAATGAGGTTAGGAAACAAAAGGGGATTGTATGGAGCTGTGTCTTACCCTGTCAGGTGCTGTCTGTCATGGTTGTGTGCAAGCTGGAGCTGCCCAGTACCTATATGAGCAAAGCCTTCAGTGTGAGTTGGGAAAGTCACTCTACAATTGGCTCTTGTCACACATGCACCCTCCTGCCTCTATTCAAGGCCATTCAGGAGAGTGGACAGTAATATTGTATGGGCTCTGTTGACAACAGTTGTTCTAGGAAAGGGAAGAGGCATCTGAGTGAAAGGGATGAAAAAGAAAAGTGGCAGGTATTTTGGAGCTATAATCACAAGTTCTGATTTGAGTTCTTCAGAAAAGCCATTGCACAACATTCTTTTACTTATCTTCATTTCAGATTCTTTTGTGTTACCAAACTAAAAACCAAACCTTCTGCCACTGAGTCAATTCTGACTCATAGCAACTCTATCGAACAGAATAGAACTGCCCTATAGGGTTTCCAAGGCTGTAAATCTTTACTGAAGCAGACTGCATCTTCTTTCTTCCATGGAGCAGCTGATCATAAATTTCTTGTGAAATGTTTGTAACATGTAACTGAAGTGTGCATTGTAGGATTGAAATAGGAATTTTGGAGATTGAATGATGAATAGTCATAATTCTTTGAATAGATGACAGTTAAAAACAATGTTCAAAGATTTAAGCAGAAGATAAGATGACACTGAGGGAGAGCTCTGGTAGCATAAGACACTTGCCTGCTAACCAGACGGCTGGTGGTTCAAACCCACCAGCCACTCCTTGGAAAGAAGGTTGGGCAATCCTACTTCCGTAGTGATACTGCCTCGGAAACCCAAGGAGGGGTCGCTATGAGTCGGGTTTGACTCGACGGCACATAACAACAACAAGATGACATTGTACAAAGCATCTTTAATAAAATGACAGTGAATTAGGTAGTAATTAGATAGGTGACATTTTTCCACATTTAGGTTTGCAGGGTTATGGAAATAAAACTGCACCTCTAATAGATTTCATCCATAAGTCTTGAATTAACATGTCATACCTTAATATTTTCAAATCCCCCCAAAGGAAAAGAGAAAAGAGCCCCTTTCTGCCCTGACTTCTTTTGTCTCGGTGCTAAGAATGTTTCTGCAGAAGACATGGGTTTTCCCATCACCACTCCAGTTTATTTTTCTTTTTCTAAAGGAAAAAATTATAACCATTTTTATCACTAGAACTGTTGTATTACACAAATTTGGCCGAATTAACAAGAGGATATTTTCTATGTAGATTTCAAACCCATGTTAGACTATCTTTGTCTTGAAATTTCTCATGCATGACTTCATAATAAAGAAAACCTTTTGCTTCAGGCTGGACTGAGTCAACTTGAGGAATTCCAGATAGAAGCATTAGCTTTAGGTCTTTAAGGCATATTTTTAAAATAACCATGCACACATAGTGATAGGCTTCTTTCGCTAATTTCTAGAGGTGCTGCTGGTTAACCTTTTAAAATAAGATTATTTAAAATAATTACTGCTCAGAAGTTTCTGTACCAATTACAGAGTATAAATTTTCTGTGTGTTATCAGTTTACCCAAAAAGAATATAGTATGCTTGGTGCAAAGAGTTAACACACTTGTCTGCTAACTGAAAAGTTGGAGGTTTGAGTCCACCCAGAGGCACTTTGGAAGAGAGGACTGGCAATCTATTTCCCAAAACCCTGCCACTGAAATCCCTACACAACACAGTTCTATCCTGACACACATGGGTTGAATTGACAGCAACAGCATACTTATATTTGAGCAAACTTTTCTCATATTTATTTATTTATTGAGCTTTTTCAATGAAAATGTTTGAACCTACTGAAAAGTAGAAAACGCATTGAAATGGATGAACCTATCCCCACCCTCAAAATGTGGCGATTGTTAAATATTTTATGGTATTTGTTTCATCTTGCTGTAAAATTCTCAAGTGAGTTGTAGTCATCATGACACTTTACCAGTACTTCAATACATATCTTCAAAAACTAAAGACATTTGTTCAATACCATGACATTAATATACCTAGCAAAATTAATAGTAATTTTCTAATATGACCAATAGGTGGTGTGGTGCCTAAGACATTTGACTGCTAACCAGAAGGCTGGAGGTTCAAACCTACCAGCCATTCCTCAGAAGGAAGGTTGGGCAATCTACTTCCATAGTGATACCCCCTCAGAAACCCAAGGAGGGGTCGCTATGAGTCGGGTCTGACTCCATAGCAGTGAGTTTGGTTGTAGTTCTTTTTATATTCAAATGTTACCATTTGTTCACCAATGTCTTTTTAAACTATTTTTTCTTTTTTCACACCAGCATCCAAAAGGATCACTCATTGCATTTGGTTGTCATGCTTCTTAAATCTCTTTTAATCTGAATAGTCCATGTTATGGATTGAATTATGTCCCCCAAAATACGTGTTGTTAATCCTAACCACTATGCCTGCAGTTATAATCCCATTTGGGAATGGGCTGTTGTCTTTGCTATGTTAATGAGACAGGATTACTGTAGGATGTATCTTGAGTCAATCATTTTTGAGATGTAAAAGATCTTCCTCCAGAGCTGAGAGAGAGAGAAAACCTTCCCCTAGAGCTGGCACCCCAAGTTTAGACTTCTAACCTCCTAAACTATGAGAAAATCTGTTTGTTAAAACTTTCCATTTGTGGTATTTCCATTATAACAGCACTGAGAATTTGGTATCAAGAAGAAGGGGTGCTACTCTAACAAATATCTACAATGTGGAAGTGGTTTTGGAATTGGGTAATGGATAAAGACTGGAAGAGTTTTAAGGTGCCTCATAGTGAAAGCCTTGATTGCCTTGAAGAGACTATTGGTAGAATAATGGACATGAAGGCAATTCTGTGAGGGCTCAGAAGGAAGAGTGGAGAGCTATAGAGAAAATCTGTATTGTCTTAGAGAATGCTTATGGTACCAGGACATGGTGAGCCTTTAAAAGAAAATGATGAACATGTGATTGGACAATAGAGGAAGGATGAGCTTTTATAGGCAGTAACAAAGAACTTGTCTGAATTATGTTCAGATGTTTGGTGCAAAGTGGAAAGTGATAGACTTGGATATCTGGCTGATGAGATTTCTAAGCAAAATCTTAAAAGGGTTGTGTAGGTTCTTCTTGCCATTTATAGTAAAATACAAGTGAAAAGATATGGACTTAAAAATGAACAGTGGGAGAATTCCAGTAAGATGGTGGAATAGGCATACAAACTATACAGACCTTCTCCAACAAAGTAAAGAGAAACCAATTAACACAGATACAGAGGACAATCCTGGAACCCTGAGCTTTGAAAGGAAGGGTAGAGAAGTGGACTAGACTTCAACTAGTCAAAGAACCTGCATGAAAACACTGTAAAAGGAGACATATGGAGCTGCACTGTCAGTGATCCTGATGGCATGGACAGTTTGGATATTGCCAAGTGGTGTTAGGACCTAAGAATTAACCTAAAAATCAGCCTTGCCAGCCAGAGGCTGCACAGACAACTGTACCACTGGCTGGTAAGTAAAAGGGGAAGCAGCAAAGAGGGAGATGGGCTGAGCTGTGGACTTTTAACTGTCTGGATGGTGCATCCGTTTTGAATGAAAACATTTTGGATATTTAAAGCAATAGGGTTCTCTCAGATTCCAGGGACCTAAGAATAGGTTCCACTTGCTAGGGACTGCATGGACATACTGGGCACTGAGGACTGGAAAGGTGTGATATGTCCCTTGTTACTACATCCCTCACTCCCACCCACCTTCTGAGCCAGCAGGAATTCCATTCTAGTCTGAGTGCTCTGATGAAGCCTGGGTGCCCTGCCCTGCCCAGAATTTTTTTTTTTTTT